CTGTCTATGTATGTATATATACTTAATTGTCCTTAAATGAAAATCATGCATTAGGTCACTTGACTTAAGTCCAGCTCACGGTAATTACTGAATTAACTTTCGGGACGGGGTGTGCTCTGGTACCCCCCTGCCTCCCCTCCTTTGGGCACCTGATTTTCATCATCCATTGGCAGTCCTTTTCTGAGCCTTAGTCATCTTATAGCTCTGAACTCCAAGAACATAGAAGCACGCTTCTGCCTACCTCTGGTTTTCAGCACCAGAAATTCTGTGTCTAACACCTGTTTTCAATCTTATGCTCCATTTCTCAAATCTTATTATATCTCTGCCTTTTCACACTTTGTAGTCTCTCTCTAATATTTGTTTGCAAAACAGTAACTCATTTGTATTTCTATAATTACTGTCATATTTGTCTTCTCATCTACAGTGGTTCCTTCCTTCTGCCGGCATCTCTGGAACTACTGTTCTTCCATACAATGGCACAGCACAAGAGAGGAGCTTTTATTCTAAGAGTGGCCAAGCTAGGGCACCTGGGTGGCTCAGTCGGTTGGGCATCTGCCTTCAGCTCAGGTCATGATTGCACGGTCCTAGGATCACGTCTCATATCCGGCTCCCTGCTCAGCGGGAGTTTGCTTCTCCCTCTCCCTCTGCCCGTCCCCTCTGCTCATGCTCTCTCTCTCTCTCTCTCTCTCAAATAAATAAATCTTAAAAAAAAAAAAACCTCTTTAAAAAAAAAAAGAATGGCCAAGTTATATCTTGATAGTCAGGAGGTCATTATGTTTGCAGCACCATGGCAGTAGCTTTCTCATGAGAGAACTAGTCTCCACATGCTTGACTTAATGAGTTCTAAGGGTTCTCCTTTTTCAATGAGTATCTTATCCATTATACTCTTTCCTTACTACTTCACAATTCGATAACTTTGGGTTTCAGGGTATGGCACGAGGCCACATATGGGAATTTGTTTATCCATCTGTAATAACGTGACATCATTTTTTTTTTTTTTTTACTCAGACAAGGAAAAGAGACAAAAACTTTGGGAAATGCTCAGAAAATAAAGGGGGGGGGAGGTGTACCCTAAAATTTCTGGGAATGTGATGCTCCTTTTCAGTTGGTGATCAGGGTTTGTTAAACTAAGTTCCAGCAATGCGTATGCATTCTGTCAAATGTTCCTCTTTTTTCATAAATGATGATATAACTCAGAGCATTCCCTTAAGGAGAGTCTGTTCCAAAAGTAACATCAGATCAGAGCTTTTGGACACTATACAAATTTTAAAGAGGTAAATATCCATGGCGGAACAAACAGAAGTCCAAGTACTTACAGGACACGCGCGGGTACACATTACATGAACACAGATTTCTAGACAAAAAGGCTCAGGGTGGCTTTTCTCTGGCACTTGCTTTCCTCTGATCTACAAACACAAGATCTCATCTTCAATTATAATTTTATTTTAAAATGTATGTTCTCGGAGGGCAAAGCTTTGTGCTTGAGGTTTTTGTGCAGTGGCCCACAATGTGCTTATTTTAGTCATTATTAAATATGACTCATGCACTGGATGGAAAGAAATGTCACAGAAACAAAAAGGATACCTTTTAAATAATTAGCCCTTGGAAGAAGGTGCTGTCCAACCATCTAGATTCATTTGGGAATCCAGAGACTGACAAGACTGTGTAGAGAATGCCAGAGAAAAGCATTGTCTCCAAGTTGCACCTCCTGCCATCAGCGACTGGTGGAAGTCACGACGGACAGTGCCCAGAGTCCAGACACACACAGATGGTAGCTGTCAGGAGGTGACTCACACTGTAGATTACAGCATTTAACAAAGCAAAGAGGACTAGATGTTTAGACAGAAGTGGGAAAGCCATTCTCTAGGCAACTGGCTATAAATTTAAAGGAACAGCTCAATATTTATAACAATCTTGTTGAGATAGAAGGAAGATAGAGTCAATTGTTGTTGGTTGATTTAATCCAATGCTCCAAGACGACTCCTAAGTCAAAATTCCCATAGACTTCGAAGGGACCAAATACCTAAAGATACAGAGGTACCTGTGCTGACCTTTTTAAAATGACCATCTAGCTGATCATATGCCCTTCACTTTCAAACCAACAGATTTTACTCTCAGAATGTCTTACTTGTACGAAGATTCCTTTTGCTTCCCTGTTTTAATCACAAATTGCCATTGATTGTATTTGCTAGAAGAAAGGGAAGAGAGACAGAGAAAGACACAGAGAGAATGGGATCTGGAAAATGGGTCCACTAAGAGAGGTATGTTAGAGCGGAGAGCTGGATACAAATCCAGAACAAAGTTACTCTGGGAAATGCCAAAGCGGCTGTTCATTCAGACTGCCTATTAGAAGCTGTTTTTAATGCAGTATTGCAGGCATTGTCATAAATACCACAAGCTAGAAATTTCTGTGTGCATGGAATAAGGATCAGGTTCCTACTAGGATGCAATACTATCTTTATCATCACCACGCAATATTAAGGGTCTCCCACTACACGTGCCATAGCGGAAGGCAGTATGAGTAAAACGTTTAAAGCACCCTGATAATTTTAAATGTGAGACCAATGCCATATAATGAGTCAACATTTTTCACAGAGTGCGTCTTCTGGTGGATGAGGGCTATGAAGATCGAATTCTGATGGCGCATGACATACATACAAAGCATCGGCTAATGAAATATGGAGGTCACGGCTATTCTCATATACTTACCAACATTGTTCCTAAAATGTTGCTTAGAGGTATCACTGAGAATGCACTTGATAAGATACTAATAGAGAACCCTAAGCGATGGCTAACTTTCAAATAGGATGGTTGTTTATGAATTCACACCTTGAGCATAAAGCTTGCAAAGAACATTTTCCAGGGATTTCAAACCCACTGTGAGATATTAATCAGACCTCTCTGTAGGACTAATGGCGGGTCATTTCCTTTTTATGAGAATTAAAAGAGTTTTGCCTTCTCAGAAACCACTATTACCTCTGTACCTTTAGGAAATTACTGACCTAATTGAGCCCTATTGTTCTGCCTTCACAAAATAAATACAGAAATATCTATTTCCAAACAGTGACTTACAGTCTGTATCCCCTTAGGGGAGTTTTGTTTTGTTTTGTTTTCTTAATCTATCAGCTGCACTACTTGAGAAAATTTAAAGTGTTTCTAGTTAAATTACCCCCTTCTGGAGCAATCTAATGTTTCTTGTAATATTGATGATCCTACTAATTATCCTGCTGTTCTTTAATTAATGCTTAATGAATAATACGGTACTTTAAAATAGCTTCAGCAGCAAGGGAAGTTAAATTTTGAGGCTTTTTTTTCCCAAAGGATACTGTAATACAATTACCAATTCACAATGGTAAAAAGATTGTGTAAGCTTAATTATATGCTGTCTACTTTATCTATATTTACTGATAATAAATCAGTTTTGTTGCCTGTGGCTTCCCAGTATCCATTTTTGCTATAAAACTTTGTTGTTTTAAAAAAATTGTATAAGGGAGCATGAACACATAATAGTGATTTATAAAAATTCAATCATAAAAGTCAAAATATATTACATAATATAGTTTAATGAATCATTACATTTATAATAACAAAGGCCACAGTTTAATTAATAATATATAATGGAAAAAAAAGAGAAATATTTGCCTTATCTATATTCCCTTTATTTCCTTTACGTTTTGTTTTTCCTTGGGCCTAAACAGAGAAAATAATGCTTAGTTATCTGAAGAAAAGGTCAGATCTATTAGAAATGACATTCTGATTCTAGAGTCTACTCTTCAAAAGGTACCCAGCCCTGATGTTTGGTGTAAATAAAGCCTTTTTAAAACCCACAGAAGATGTGCACTGCTGTTTACAAATTAATTTTTTGGTTGATTCCTCATTATGCTATTTGTTACCTCCCCCCTCCCCCAAAAAATCTCCAAACCCTTGCTACCAATTCCTCTTTGATAAATATATATTGTTAAACAGAAATAAATCCATTGCAACTCCTTTATGAGTTATCCAACATATTAGAAAGGCCAAACAGAATTAGTCACTCTTCTTGATGAATGGGCTAAGTGATTTTAATCATAAAAATCATGACAGTTACTCAGACCAAGGCATTTAAACCAAGTCAACAGCACCTTCAGATGGGAACACCATGCGTAACTCTTTTGGAAAGTTAGGGTTTTCTAAATACAAGATATTTCCGTGGATCAAAGGTGATCAAGCTTTCTGTGTATTAGAACAGAAAGTACCCAAGAGGGACAAGCCAGGAGAACAAACTAATTCCTTTCAATGAAAAAATGCAAATGTCCTTCACCAGTAAAACAAGCAGATTCTTAAATCCCCGTTTTTCAAATCTACTTGTTCAAAGAGTCTTCAAAGCCAACTGAGAGGGGGGACAGATTTTTCATTGTAACAGTGCAAGCTGTCTGATAGTCAGGATCTATTAACATGCATTTTTAACCCTTTTCTTAGATTAAAGAGGTGACTTTGGGCAGTGTATTTTAACCAGAGGGAAATGATCTGCACTACTCTCAGCATCTACTTTCCTGTCAGCTTTAATCCACCTGAGAAAAAAGAAAAAAATGGATAATTCAAGTGCATACAATTCATAAACATTGCAAAAGAGAGCCACTTTGTTTCTGCAGTCCTAATATTAACAGTCTGCCACAGAATGCAGTGCAAGTATTGATTGGCATATGGTAATAAAGAAGCCATAGGCTTAATTTACAGACCTGTGATGTATAGAGCATTTTAACCTAATAAAATTTAATTTTCTGGGTAACTCTTAAAAGAGAAATCACTTAAATTATTTTGCTATTCCATATACTTTTGTAATCCAAAATATATTTCGATCCAAAATAATTCAAATAATTTATGCGTGGTGTGTGAATATATACACACACTTTTTTTTTAAATTAAATTTTTGAGGCTATACAGCCACTGTGCCTATGGTCTGAAGCCATGTATATATTATATTTGATTTAACATGTGTGTGTGTGTACACACAAATACATGTATATGTAGCAGGTATTGGTATAAAATATATACACTTTGTTGTCTTATTGGTTGTATGTGAAATTGTTCATTTTGAAATAACCTCGGGCCACGACTCGTAGCAACTATTTGAAGGCCTTACTTAGTGTCCCCTTGGTGACTCATGCAGTAGCTCAAATTAAACCATTGTGCATTGGGTTATGAATAACCTTTTGTTCCAAAGAAGGCAAAAGCCTCAGTCTGATTTAACACCAAAGAATAAATTTCTCTGACTTTCTAAGTAAATCTAAACGCATTCTATTGACAAAATGGACACACGGGGGATTTTCTAAATACCATACATAATTACACATTTTCACACTTAGAGGGTAATCCTATGATACAATTTCAATCTCTATTTTTAAAGACTATCACCAGAAAAGAGAGAAAAGAAAACTCGTAAGAAAAAGAAAATGTGAAAATGATCATAGGCTTGGGAATTCCCTCAAATCCAGAAAATTCCAGGTTAAGGCTTGAAGTTGAATCATTCCCAGGACTAGCTCTAAAGTTAACAAAAGTACAAGGCAAACAATTTCTTTGGGGACAAGCAGCATTATTTCAATCAGACCTTCTCCTGCAGGGTAAAATCATCCTCCCCACACTGTGAATGGACTCCAAGTATCATAATAAGCAGGTGAACTCACAAGAACCAAAGCTGACATATGGATAAAAGCAGCAAGATCACAGTACACCAAAGTATCATATATATTGGAGAAATAATTCAGTGTCTTAGATTTTTCTATAAAAATTTGTGATCTATATAGGACTTCATTCACATGGACACTAACGATAAGGAGGAGTATTTGCTTTGGCGGTAGTGGATAACACATCTGCTTATCTTGCTTTTAATTTTTTTTTTTTTTTTTACATAATGTTTCTGAGTATACAGATGTGAGTCAGGTAGCATTTGAATTCCCCACATATACACAACCGAGGTGCCCCGCAACCGGCATCCCCTGGGATCCTTGATTCACTGACGTTAGCCATCCGAATCCAGTGTCCAAACTCAGAATAATAAGCTTAGTTTCTGCGTTATCAGTCAGCATAAATAATAAATCCAGAAAACGTGCTGTATTTGTTGTTATTCCCTCCGTGGGCTTTCCCGCCATCTAATTTGATGTACACTTCGTCTCCTGGCTCCAAATGAAGAACGACACTGTTACTGGCGTAGTCGTAATTCTGATCAGCGTCTTGGGCGATGGCGCTGGCTCGCACCTATGTGAAACAAACAAGAATTAGAACCTGTAGGAGACAACTCTCGGGTTGTCCTTGCTGCCATTCACACAGCATCGGAAGCCGACCTGTGCTGTGGCACGGAATTCGGCATGGGCGTCGGAGCTCCGGGAGGATATCTTTCTAAGAGTCTCATCTGCGTCGCTGGAAAGGAGCAGAAAGATTGTAAGGTGCTATGGCAAGGGTCGGTCCAGCAGCCTTCTCCTACTGTGTGCTGTAAACAGCGCACATCACGCTATCCCCTTCCTAAATCAGCACTTTTTCTCATTCCTTGAATCTCTAGGCCCAATCACTTCTTGAAATGGAAATAAGGGTAACTTTTGTGCATTTTAATTTAAGCCAATTAGCAATATTCTAAGCAGCTGTTTACGAGGACAGAGGTTCAATCTGAACTTCAGCTGGGTCCCCACGCTTATTAGAAAATGGAGATCCTTGGCAGTTGAGACTCAGAGAAATAACATGACTCCAACTCTACTATATAGGGAGGGAAAAAAAAAGAAGAAGAAGAAGAAAGCCTTTTGATTGGGGGCTTTCGAAATCTAATTCAGGTAAAGCCTTTTTTTTTTTTTGCCAGAAACCCCCGTTTAAAATGTCATCTAAGTTTGCAGGGTTCATTTTGTTATTTGTGCCTTTTTATTACTTACCTGTGATGTGTGCACTTAAATAAATTATTTAATTTTGACATATCTAAAAGTTATAGTAGGAACTAAGCTTTGAGGCCTCTAAAATTTCTAACATTTTTTAATGATGTGATTGAATACCCTGTTCCATTTAGGTGATTCTGAAAATGTGTGGTTTGCTTTGAGGATGGAAGTTGCCTATAATCCACTCGTGCTGAGCCTGTGATCTTATTAGCGGGTTGATAGACATTTGCAAACAGTCAATTTGCCTATCATTTCAAGTAATATGGACATTCTGTCACATCCTCAACTCAAATTAGGCTTCAGATTCATTTAGCTATATTTTGATTCTGCCTTGAAAAAAATTTCAATAGGCACACTTGTATTTGATTTACTTCAGTAAAACATCTTCTACTTTGTGGCTTGTTCCTATTCTACTATAACGGTATTTCCCCAAATAACATAGCAAGTGATTTAGTGGTTTTGTAAACCTGCATTATGTAATAATGCATGACTTGGGGTACAATATGCTGGATGGATTTTATCACTTGGCAAAATGAGGGAAATGAGACATGTGAAGAATTTCCATGCATTTCTTTCAAAACTTAAATGATAGGTTTTCAAGTTAAATTTTCATGTGGTATGCTCTCACATTAATGCTGAAATGTTAAAAAAGGAGAAGGCTCTTTGACACTGCTGAACTTGTAAAGTAATTTGAGTAGTATTTTAAAAATTTCTTTCTGGATATTGTATGGCAGAAGGAGAAAGGGGCTTAAAGGATTTAGAATTGCTTAACACTGTGCTGACATTAATACAGTGAATGCAATATACCAGGCAATTAGGCTCCGAAACACTGACTCAAATATATACACCAATTCAATGAGGTGATCTGTTTGGACCGTTAAGTAATAATAGAATTTAATGATATAATACTTCCTAGAAATTAATCAGAAGTTTGTAGGAGTTGAGTGCTTTGATTCATTAATTTCATCTAGTCATTAATTCCCTGGGAAAAAAATCTACAAGGAGGATAGCGTTGTTACGACCTCACCTTTTTTTTTTTAACACGTGGACTTCTAATGGGTGAGAAAAATTAAAATACAAATTAGTAATTAGCTATGTCAGTAATATATTAATTAATTAGCAATCCATAAATATGCTTTTCAGCTATTATTAATAAGCAGACACATTTTATTTAGTGCTTTAGGTATTTAATATATGCTCTATGGGTATTGTGCTGTAACACTGTTTTCTATATAAAGGCATTTGGGAACCAGTACTCATTAAAATCCCTTGATTTTGAAACAATAGTCTTAAATATATATATGATGCAGTTTTGATTCTACAGGGTATAAGCAAAAAAATCATGTAAATGTGACCATTTTTATTCTGTAGGTACGACCACAAAAACTTACAAATGCATTATTGTGATTCCACAGACTAGAAGGTTACCTTATGGTTTTTCACTTCCTTTGTTGTCTGATTGCTTTTTAATGAAAGTTATTCTCTTAAGATTTTAACCTATCCTGTACCATGAGACTTTCCCAATTAAATAACTGCCATACTCCAGTGTACTTTGCATGATTTTAGTATGCCTGCTCACCTGATCCTACTCTAAAGGTATAACGGAACTTGAAATTTCAGACTCTAGTAATCAGCTTGGTGACTTCCAACAATTCTCCCTTTAAGCCATCAAACTACTGAGGAAGGTAATGCATCCACCTTGGAGACTATTTTCAGGTTCCTAAATGTACACCGATTTCAGCATTTTCTCCAGGACTATGATGCATCCTTTCCTTAGCCTGATATTTCTGCCTAAATGTACTCTACTATCTTTTCATATTATAAGTTAACTATTTAGATCCTGCTTGATCTGTAGTGTGTGTTTCACCGCTTTTAAAAAGATAATGTTAATTTGACATTTTGTTAATCTCGCTAATGAATGAATATCAACCCACAAACTATTGTTTCCAACATATCTCATGTTCATTGATGCTATAAGTAATTAATGCATTCTAATAATAAAACCGGGTCTTTAATTATTTTATAGTTCTAATCTCGAGCCACTTTTAGCTTTTATTATAGTGGCTTGTTATAGTGGTATTACAGTGACTGTATTCACATAGCAATTTTTGAATTCAGGTTTTCTGCTACAGGTATACAAACACATCAAAATTATATTTCCTGTCTCTCTGTAAAGCCATCCGAGTCCAACTTTTACCTTTCATATGCACTGTCATGGGCTCTCAACAAATGGTATGATTAATTTTGGGTTGACGGTTTCAGGCAGAATATGAGAACTGTGATCCTTTTAGTGGCATGTTTGGGAGAACATAGGAGCTCGTGTGGCTTTAGCATTATCTTATTAAGGAGGGTTTATCATTAGAGACAATATTTATGGTAACATTTGCTAATTTAATTAATTGCTACTGGTGCTCTCATAATTTCATTTTCTTTGTACTTCTGTGGAATCATAAACAAAAGGTTAAGGGGTGCATCAGGTTAATTTACTGGCCTTTGATGTTTCCATCTGTGATCCTGCATTCAACACAAAGCATAAATAAAATGGTTCTCATATGGTTACAGTCCAGAGGCATTCCTCTATCCTAGAGTAAACTGCATTTTTAGTTTAATTTTTGTGCTTCTCAAATCCACCTAATCCATTGAACATTACACTGACACGGATCTCTGAGTTTCTGTTTTATGAAAACAAATTAGGTCTGCTCAGGGGGGGAAACTGCCATTCTAAGAAGTGATCAGATAAGAACATTAACTGAAAATCACTGATAAACTATTTATTTAATATTAATAAAATAAACTTTATAAAATATTTCTCATTTGCAGCTGTCTACAGATCAGACTTTACAAAATTATTCTAAGGATAAAATTCCTTCACATTAATATTTTAATAACGATTTTCCAAAATAGTCCATGCTGAAGTTGAAAATATATTGTTTGCTGCTACATATATTTTTCTGAATTGCTTGTTGCACACCTTTTGAAGAAGTAACAGCTTAATAATGCCAATGGAGAGCTTTATACATGATAAGGTCAGCTGGTTTGCCTTATTTTTTTTCCTGGTCCTCAGAGAATGTGCATGCTAGGATGATACAAAGGAGCATTCTACTCTTCAAACAATGAAATAATTTTAAAAACAAAATGCACCTAGAACATGTATATAAAATGGTTTTCTTGGAATCAGTTCGATATACCTGGGCTCAGCAGTTGAGATAGCAACCTTTAAACTAATTTAAATGTTTCATTCCCTGATTTTTCATGCAGTTGAAATTTCCAGATATTTAAAGATGTGTTTTTATTCAGTGGCTGATAAAACTCGAATATTATTCCATCTTAATTAAAACCTCTAAAAACAATCCTTCAGCCTGACAGTATTTTCCAGACCTAACCTTTGAGTCAGAAGAGAGCCAATTTGTAAATAAATGGGTGCCGCATAGCTGTCTGCTAAGGGGCTTTTCAGAAACCATTTTGTAAACGTGATACAATAGCTCTATTTTGGCACAATGAGTCATGCCCTTTTTAGCCATTCCCCTACAACTATCTCACTGCTCTGTAAATAATTTTTCTTTATCTTAATATTATTTTTGTGCATAATAACTATCATAAACAACCCTGTCAGTGCCTCCTGGTGGCCATTTCCCCCCTCCTTTTTTTTTTTCTTTTGGTTCTACCTGTCCTGTGGGGTCCTTGAGCTATTTATTTCTAAATTCTTTTAGAAATGAGGGGTAGGAGGAGCGGGGAGGGACAGGATTTTTTTTGTCCTTTCCTTCTTATACATTTAGAATATTTGTCTTTCACTTTTTGAGAAAAAAAAAAAAACCTGATACTGAATTGGGTCTTTGGAAGAAATCCTGCCTTAATGCTGCTTAATAGAAACCTGGGTTGTAACTGAAAAGGCCTGAATTCAAGGGGCGGGTGACCTGAGCCCAGTAGCCCTCGTTAAATCTAAGTTGGCCATTCCCTGTGCCACCCAGTAGGCGAAATTAAAGCCAGAGAACTCAGCCCAGACTGCAGGCTGCGGGTCGCAAGGCCTCGCCCAGAGCGCGGCTGCTGATTCAGCGCGAGCCTCAGGTCCGGTGACACTTTCCGGTAGTTACAAATACTATTTTCCTCCTCTAAGAGACCAGACACACTTTGGTTTTGCAGTGACCGCGAGTTTCTTAAGCAAGCGGTAAAGTGGCCGCAGCATAAACCTGCAGACCCATGGACCTAGTGGCAGAGCCGACCAGCCCAAGAGAGCAAGTCCAAGGGCTCAGGGCTAATCCGAGGCGAGCGCACAGTCAAGGCCGAGGCAACTGCCTTGTGAGAAGGCAGGGTTGGAAAGACCCTCACGCAGGCGGCCCAGGGGCTCCCTGACGGTGAGGCCCATCGCCCCGGGGCTGGCTCGGCCTCTGGCCCTCCTAGCCTCTGCCTGTGCAGCCTCCTACTCCAGCCAGTGGAGTCTGGGTTCTGTGTTTGGGTGCGTGTTTTGCTGAGTACACCCATGAGTCTCAACTTTCTCTTTTGTTATCAGCACTCATTACTTCTCCCCCGTGTTCTCCTTGAGCTGAAATCTAAACCGCGGTTTGTGCCTTGAATTTGACGGTATGCTTGTTTCCCGGGTCTGGGACGCCGCAGGGGCCTTGCGACCGCGAGTCCCCGGTCCCTCTTCGGCCCTGGACGCGCCACACTTGAACTCGCTCCTTCGGGTCCCTTCTTTCTCCCGCGGGCCCCTTTCTCCCCCGAGTTTGTCACCCTGGCACGCCCATTTCGGGGCTGCCCCAGCCCTCCTATTCCAGGCAAAGCCTGAGAGCGACCCCACGCCGCTGAGGATCCCACAGCCGGGGGTCGCCTCCTGCTCCGGACTCCCTGGTGCACAAGCTGTCCAGGGGACCGAGCTCCCGGCTTCCCTACCCTCGAGGGTCGCGCTCACACTCGCGCGCTCTGAGTGCAGGTCCTAGCTTGGGAACCGCCCTCTCCAGGCCTCCGGGCACCCGCTTTGGCTCACGACCCCCGCCTCCCCAGGGAGTAATAGCCTCCCCTCAGCTCCGCGCCCGGGAGCCCGGCTGCCTTGCCCTTCCTCCGCGGGCTCCCACCCCCATTTCCGGGGTCTCCTCCCTCTTGCCTGCACCTTCCCGCGCTCCCTCCCCGCCCACCCCGCTGCCTGCCGGCGCTCACCTGGTTGTTTTTGCAGAGATCAGCCCACATGCTGGTGCCGTCCCCTCCGCGCATCAGGACGTGGTAGGTGAAGAAGTAGATGCCCGGGATAGAGCAGGTGAACTTGCCCGTGGTGGGATCGTAGTGGTTACCGAGGTTGGTGACCACGTCGTCGAACTTGAGCACCTCGTAGCCTTCGTGCTGCCGCTTGAGGCCGGCGTAGAAGGCGATCTTGGGCACCGTGCTGTAGGTGGCGGCACTGATGGCCCCGGCCGCATTCAGGCCGGGCGCCCCGGGCGGGCCCGGCAGGCCTTGGCGGCCGGGCTCGCCCTTCTCGCCCGGAGGGCCCACGGGACCCGGCGGCCCGGGCTCACCGGGGGGCCCACGCGGGCCCGCCTTCCCCGGCCTGCCGGCCTCGCCTTTGGGGCCCTGGATGAAGGTGGGCAGGGACTGCATGAGGCCGCGGTCGGGCGTGGCGGCGGTGCTGGGCGCCTTCGTGCCCCCATAGGGGTCGCAGACCATGCGGCAGGTGCCCAGCATCTCGTAGTGCGCCGACGTGCCGGCCGAGCTCACCAGCACCGGGATGAGGATGACCAGCAGCAGCACCATCACCACCCCCAGCGCCCCGGCGGCGATCAGGCGCCTCCTGCTGCCCACCAGCCGGCTCAGCGCGGGGCGATCCTCTTGTCTGCTTTTGGACAAAATTTTGAAGGTTGGGCGGGGACCTCCTCAGAGCCGAAAACAACCCCCTGCGAACCCCAACTCCCCTGGGCGGGCGCGCGCCGGCCGCTCCCCGCCTGCTCCCGCTCCTGCTCCCCCTGCTGAAGCTGCGGCTGGGGAGGGAGCTCGGACGCCAAGTGACTTGAGCTGAAGTCCCGGGCTGGGGGTGGGGGCTGGGGGAGGGGTGCGCAGGGCGCCCTCTCGCCTCCCGCGAGCCCCTTCGCACCTGTGGCTGCCGCCGGCGCCGGCGCGGCCACCCGGAGGGCAGAGCCTGCCGCCGCCTCTCGTGCTGGCCCGGGCAGCTCACACTTTTATGCAGCCGCTGCCTGCGATCGACTTTTCCGTTTTTGCCGACTGCGCCAGTTCGCACCAACTTTCCGTCTGAAGTTGCCTTTTTCTGCCTCCTTCTTTCCTTCTTTCGCTTGCTCCGTTCGCCCTTCCACTGCCTTTCTCCCCCTCCTTTGCCACCACCACAACTCTAATAGATGCGCACCCCCAACGACCGGCGCTGGCCGCGAGAGCTCGGGCCAGCCGCCCCCCGGGTGCGCGGAGCCGCGGCGGCGGGCACGGTCAGCTCGGCAAGGCTCCGGGCTGGAGCGGAGGAGCTAGCGAGCAGCGGCGAGCGCCTCGCCGCCGGGAGCGGAGCGAGAGAGACACTGAACGCAGAATTCTGCCTGGGTACCACCTGCCAGGAGAAGAGGAGGCTGACAAACGCGCGCCGGAGCAATTTATAGGCACCCAAGGCACAGAGGAAGGGGAGCCGCTTTGGCATCTCACTGTAGCATCTGCTCTGCTCATCCCACTCAGAGAGAGTTTGGCATTACTCTGACAATGTGGGATTTTTTTTTCCCCCCAGCCTCTCTTTTTTTTTTTTTTTTTTTTTTCCCCTCTGCACATGGATGAACAGTGAGATCGTGAATACTCCCTTGCTGAACCCAGGTGATGGCAGCGCTCTCGCTGGACATACCTGGGGGTGAGGGAGACAGATGTGCAACAGCCTTGGGCACTCCAAGGTCACACCTAAGCCCTCTATTTCCCCAAGGCCGGCAACGCCAGTTGGAGGGTGGAAGTGAAGGTTGAAAAGAGGGTGGCTCGGTCGACAGTATTTCCCTGCTGGCTCACCCACAATCAACCGGTGCTTCAGGTGTTTTTTGAAATGCCACTTTTAACATCAGAAGGGCCCTTTAGAATTTTCCAGATGGTTTTTTTTTTTTAACCTTATGGTTTTCCTCACCAGCCTTCTAAAATGAAGATGTTACCCAGAGAACAGTAAGGTGCGTTGAAAAGCCAAAGGAGGTTTTGAGTGATTATGAATGAACAGGCCCACCACATAATGGGAGGGGGGGGGTTTCTTTTAACAAATGCTGCAGATGGTGAGTATATACTCCGTCCTCTACTTACAGGATTACTGTTCTAGCTAACTATCTGGAGTTAGTGCCATTGGACCTGAAGTTGCACTACATGAATGAGAAATAATCACTTGTTTAAAATGTCTTTAAAAGTCTTAAGACAAACCAAGCAGCCTTTACAAAAGTCCTGGGGCAAGATCTTTTCCTAAGATATGGAAAGTGTCCTCTAGGCTTCACAGCACATTTCCTACACGTACATTGAAGCATGGGGCAAAAAAGGGGAAAAAAAAAACATGAGAAAGAAGAGCCCCATTTGCAGTGGGAGAGCGGGAGAAGGAAAAGCGTGGTTTTGTAATATTAATGTAAAAAACCCCAGAGTAGATATTAGGCAAGTTATCTCACTAACAAATACATAAGACACACAAGAACAGCTTTAAATAAACAAGTGGAATTGATTTGTGAATCATACTTTTGTATTCAGGAGCAATGGATGTCAATCAAACGCGGATGACATTTCCTTGTCAATACGGGGATGATGGCTGGGAAGATGGTGACTTATTAAACCAGGGCGAGAATCTGAAATGAGAAGCAAGAACAAATAAGACTACAGCAAGCAAACAGTAACATCCCTGGGATCCTGTCTGGGGCCTCCACAGCACAAGCATTTCCTTGTCTGTTCCTTCTGCCTAACTTCCAGGCCACGCCAATTTAGTTCTTTCTTTCCTTCTTCTCTGTTTCAAAACGAAATAAGGTCAAATGAGCAGTCAGAAGAAAACCAAGATTCACTGATTCATTTAAGAGAAATGTCAGCAGTTCTTTTAGGTCTTTCCAGGGAGAATCAAGAGTGAGACCCAGGGTCTCGGTATCTTCTGTCCCTTTGGCTGCAACTGGATGAGAATCCTTCCCGCTCCTCAAACCTTTACCTTTTAGGGTAGTGGTTTCAGAAATGTGTGTCTATGTCTTGGGCGGAAGACTTTGGTTCACAGGAGGTACCTTATTTTCCTCTTTTTGAGTGGCAGACACATAGAAAGTTCTCCCCCGGCCACAATACCTATTTTCTTAGCACACCATGTGGGTTGCTTCTCAAAAGTCACCTTTCTTTTGGGGGACAAAATAGTAAAGGGTGGGAACGGCCATGAAGGTTAATGTGTTAATCAAACTCTTTTCCAATGCACCAAGTTATCAAAATTCATAAGATCTCATTGCTAAAGAGAGTCCAGTGGAGGATAAAAGGGGCATTTTTAAAAGGGTAGAGTTGAATAAATAAATTCTCATTGAAAACCTCAAGATATACTTCCATTGAAGACCGCTCATCTTAACAGAGGAAGCCAGTGAGGATACCATGAAATGGTAGAGCCGGAATGAATGCTAGAAAGCTCTTCAGTACCTGCTCACTTTCGCGGATGGTAAGTGTGAGACACAGCTCTGAGCAGGAGAAAGGCCGCCCAGTGTGTGCTATTACACCCCCCTCTACACCACAATCTCAGACCTCTGGGACAGGCCCTAGTAATGGAGGCATTTCTCTTTCCACCATCTCTAATGCTAAAGCACAGCTTGGTTTTACAAGCGAGGGCACCAACATCTTAAAGGTCTGCTGAGATATGGAAAAGTGCTCTGTAGGCATCATTCACAATGCAGGCAACATTTCCCAGGTCACATGGCTGACCCATTTTTCCAGTGAGTGCACAAACCCAGGTGGCGCTTGGACAGTTGGCTTTTGAGTGAAGTCAGTTTACATTATCGATCTCCTCCCTTTTCTCTAGAGGTGTCCCACCACGTGCTTTGGGAGAAATTTTTGTTGTTGTTGTTCAGGGATGACTGGGTAGTAGATGAACTAATGGCTGGTGGCTGCCACTTTCCACTGCTTGAATTTCTCAGAAGGTTCTCTGGAAAGTTACTCACGCTTCAGCCCTTAATTCTGACAGTTTGAATAAGCCATCTGATGGCATATTACTCATCATCTCTATATGTATATAATAATAGAAAATGTGTCAATTAAAAAAAATATTTGATTCTCTTCATCCCTCATCAGAGAAGCAAGTTTTCTCTCAAAGTTGATATTAATCTTGGAAGCAAGCCCTGGGATCTAATTTTCCCAATCGTGTCTCAAGAAAACACAAGGCTCTATGTTCCCATTTCCTTCTGCACCTGTGCCTTCGTGACCATTCAGATCATAAAGTCCAATACAGAAACCCAGGATCTGGGTTGGATGTTGATCCAGTAATTTTCATCTCCCCGCCTCATTTCTGTCTCTTTCGGAGAACCGAGCAGATCCGAAGCCACATGACTCCCACACAGACCTGCACCACCATCCATTAATCTTTATTGAGCGCCCACTGGCAGCACCGCCCTACACTGGGCTCTTACTAGTCAAACAAATCTTTAGTCATGAGAATGATTTCCAAATCCAGCAGTACTTAACCAGAAATAGCATTTATAAGAGGAAAATAACATGTTAACAAACCCAAAGACTATCTACAGAAATAGAAATACAAAGAGTAAAAAAAAAAAACAATCAGATTGGGATCAGCTATTTACCTTTGCTTCCTGGATCTCCAAATTATAGTTCAGAACATACACTCCTTTGACTGAAGAGTTATAGATTTCTAGCCAGAAAGGGTCTCCCTGGAGTAATGTAGGGAAGTAGTAGATCCTTATGGCTTTGGAATCAGATGGGTCTTAATTTGGATCCTGGTTTCCTCATTTAGTTGCTATGAAAGTTACTTAACCTCCCTGAGGCTTAATTCCCTTTTCTCTAAAATGGGAATAACACGAATACCTAACACTAATGTTGTGAAGACTGAGCGAGTTAATGCATATAATTACAATGATAGCCAACTCAAAACCAGAGCCCAATAAATGTCAACTTCCATGTTCATTTGTTGTAGGACTGCTGAGTAGTGGGTGGGCATGTGGGCTGGATAGTCGAACACAGGCTTAGTAAAGGAAGCTAAAGGGTCAGACTTAAGACAGATGACATCAGATGGATACTAAATGTCATAGATTTAGACAAAATTAGAACACCCAAGTTCCCCAGGAGAGTTGCCTGTGTGTACTATTGTATAATATCAAAACAAAGTAAGACAAAACTCAACACAAGGATCCTTTCACCCTTCTCCAAAGTAAGAGGAAAAAAAGTTTTATAGCAAGATAATGTAATTCACTGCAGTTTGACAGACCAAGATTTTTGGATTTACAACCTAGTAGGAAGCATTAAAACGTGTTTTCCCCTGCTCTGGAAAGTTCCCCAAGTCAACAAGTTGCAAGTATATTTAAAAATCACTGATAGTTACTCAGGAACTATTCCTGTGGATGATGATCCTCAAGAAAAAGTGAACATATGAGAGAGGGCTGCTTTAAGTTAGCCAGAAAAGCAATCACTCTGAAGGACACCTAAGTCATAACCACATACAATAGGGAATTTTCAACAAAAAACTCTCTACGGGGGATAGTGAGTTGGAAAATTAGCTTGGCAAGTCTATTTGTCAGAAAATTATTGAATAGCCAGAAGGAGAGATGGTAACCAGCACTGTACCTAAGGCTTGGTTACAATGTATGGCTTCAAATTGGTCTCAAATTCTTGCCATATCAATCAAGACAAGGATGGAATCTCTAGAATGGATATGATATTTTATACTTGCTTTCCATGGGTGGAATGTTCAGTCCCTAAGACCCTAT